AGCGTGACGTTTGGAGCAACTGGAAGCCATACTCACAGCGTCAGGGAGACTTATCGAATAAATGTCATTCCTTTCAACATCTTAAGGACGGACTAAGAATAGTGTGTGACCACTTGAAGATACGTCCACTTTGAGAGAAGTTACAAGATAAGAAAAGTGTTGCAGTATTTATAGAACACCCTGTATGTCACTGAGATTCTGAGTGGAACCTGAGGCGTTGTTTGGCGCATCCCAATAAGGGATTTGTCAACGCCAGCAGCTTTGACCTTTATCCTTTTTATGCAGTAGCAATATCAATATATTTGAATTTTTAAGGAGAAGTTGATTAGTGTTGATTTTGCAAACCCACTAGAAACCACTTCGAAATACCAAAGAATAATCAATGTAAAAATTTTTGAGGCGAATTTTTAGAAGCACCCGATCTTTTAGTGGAACGACGTCGCATTTCGTCGTGACGACCATACGCTGCCAGTTTTTGAATTCCGAGCTTCTTGCGCTAGGAACAGTTTTTTTTCTAAATTTAGTCTGGGTCAACGCTTCTGCTTTGCAGTCTTTTTCTCGTTCGCTATCTGTTGACAGGTTGATGTCGGAGTGATGCGCATCACGCTTTGCAGACCTCATGGGACAGTGTGATTGCCATGGGTAAATAAAAAATAGCACACTGAATAGTGTATCACAAGAATGCTGGGTTGTGAACAAAACTTTCGCCCCAGGCGGGACTAGAACCCGCACCTCTCGCTTTCCGGGCAAGTGCGCTACCAGTTACGCTACCGGGGCACCATTTCATTCCAACTCAGCTTTTCATGGTATACGTACCATAGCTTTCAGCACTCACACGTGTAACTGTTGGTAGCGTAGTAGCGCACTTGCCCGGAAAGCGAGAGGTGCGGGTTCTAGTCCCGCCTGGGGCGAAAGTTTTGTTCACAACCCAGCATTCTTGTGAAACATTCGCAAGGCGAACTGCGGCCAAAATAGCAAAAGAAGTTAACAATCAAAAACTGAATAATGACATAGTTCGATTAGTTTTACTTGCTTAATTCGTTTAATTATCGCATTTCTTTGTTAGCACTGATGCATATGTCTCTCCTTGTATGCGGAGCAAGCTAGTTCTGACAGCTCATCCGGCCCGCCCTTCTTTATTTTAACCCATAACGGACGGCCAGTGTATTTTTCGCGTGCGCCACCATGTGGCGCACGCCGCCACCCAGGGTAGGGTTTATGTAGGCTTATGCGAACAGCAGGGTAAGACGGGGCTAAAGTAGGTGTCGTGTCTCATCATCCAAAAGAAGAGATTTCCGTTGACGACAAGTTCGTAACCCGCCTTTCCGCTCTAAAACTAGGGTGCAAAGAATGAATGGAAGCTGTAGGTGACATTATCGAAAAATGCGAAACAACAACCCCGAGCAAGGATGTGGCTATATTTAGGGGAAGGGGTCTCGGGACGTGCGAACCATGGGTAAGCCACCCATCAAATAGTAAACTTATGTAAATTAAGACAAAATGTATGTAAAATTTATTGTAGGTTTGTCAAAAATCCAGCCGTCCAGGTCCTGGGAAGATATGTTATTCCACATTGCTGAGAGTATATATGGGTATATTAAGATTGCTAGAAACATTCCAAAAACAAAAGAAATAATCGTGCGCCACCATGTGGCGCACGCCGTCCGTTATGGGTTAAAAGAGCAACCGAGAGAATCCTTATTTAACTACATTGGCTACTTTTCTTTGCTTTTTTCCATTTGCAGTCAACTCGGCATCCACAATTTCATTATCGACCATTTTCCCCCGCGAAAATCGATCCTGTATTAGTGCTCTAGTCGAGATTCTGGTTATGCTGTTCAATAACTTTCGCTTACCAGAGGTGATTCTTTTGTCCCGTACATCCATTCTGTAGGCGAGATCTCATTGAGCTACGTCGTAACATTTCAACGTCAGATTCTTCTTGCGATTCCACTTCCATTGTGCAGTAGCACAATGGAAGTGGAATCGCAAGAAACTCATTCCATTGTGCAATAGTTGATCCTCTGCTTATTGCTAACTTGTTTCCGATTCTTCAAGATCCGTAGCCTTTGCTTCAGAGAGAAGCTTCATATCATCAGTAATCCCAACCATTTTTTAGGTCACAGTATGCATAGGTTTGTAATTTTCTTCGCAATACGGTTTATGTTTTACATACTTTTATCACATGACCTAACTTCGTTACAGCCTTGATTTAGGTTTTGTCGATACATGGGCGTTCTCTAGGACTTAGCCTAGTAGGAGGTGTGAGCTCCGGGAGAAATATGGCCCGCACACCTTGGAGCAGGGTCAGTCCTATCGTTGCCACTTTTTCGGAAGTTTTTAAACGAAAAAACACGCCCCCCTCCTTCAGGAAATGTTTCCTACGACCCCCCCCCCCTTTCCGACCAATTTTTACCCCAAAAAATTACCGTCGAGGGGGGGGAAGGGGGGGGGGTATACACTTCCCTTAAAACCGCAAAAATTCCCTACATTTCCTTGCAATTTCCCTATGTTTTACCCATATTTCAACTGCTCCATTTTCTAGGGGGGGTATATACGCGCGCTGAAACGGCAAATTTTCTCCCGCGCCGCTCCCCACTCATCACATGCAACTTCTTACAACCGAAGCAAGTACGACCCCCCTCTACAAACTCATCAAAATACGACCCCCCGTTGCTACTTGTAGCAACATAGGGTTGACCCTGCAGGAGTCTGCTCCCTCCCCTCCTTACCAGGAAGGTCTTTCAGGGCGTGACGAGCTTTTTGAAAACGGTCTTTTGCATGATATAGGGGCAGATGCGGGGACCACAGAACCATGTTTAATTTTTCCTGAACGGCCCTCTGAATACCAGAAAAGGGGGTCCCTAGTTCGATTCCTCTTGGTGACAAATTTTTGCATTTCGAGTTGACGTTCCAAAATTCGCGCAAAATGGAGTTAGCATGAATAATTAGTACCATATTCATGATTAGGGCCGTCAGTAACTCCTACAAAAAGACTTTGACTTAAAAATTGGTGTGAGAGGTGTGACATCAAGCAGCCCCACTGTGGTGTCACACCTTTTTCACCAGTTTTTTAATCAAAGTCTATTTGTAAGGGTTACTGACGGTCCTAATCATGAATATGGTACTAATTATTCATGCTATAACATTTTGCGCGAATTTTGGCTATCGTCAACCTCGAGTTATTTGACCTACTTGTTAATCGATATCTTAGTGTTATACTTCTGCCCCTTTTCTGGTATTCAGAGGGCCGTTCAGGAAAAATTGAACATGGTTCTGTGGTTCCCGCATCTGCCCCTATATCATGCAAAAGACCGTTTTCAAAAAGTGTCACGCCCTGAAAGACCTTCCTGGTGTTATGTTCCGTATTGACAGACCCGGTTCTACTCGCTTACCATCGCAATGCCCCGTATATTGCGATAGCGCCTCTACTTAGTTTGGAGTCGCAAACAGTACATTCTTGGGACAGTGTGATTCGTATGTGACTCACAGCGGTCATGTTCGAAGAGAAAACGTGCTTGTCCTATGCACCTGACGAGCAAAGATGTCGCCTGTTGTCTTGCGAAGATAAAGACCGTGCATTGTGAATCTCACCTATATTCTTTCCTTGGCAGAGATTGTCATTGTGTGATTTGACTAATGCTGCGGCGGAGTCTCGCTATTCATACTTCCAAAGATAGTAAAAAAAGTCAATGAAACAACGTTCCATGGACATGAAGTTAACTTTTCTTCATAGAACCTCGGCACTGGTGTTTTTTTTTTTCTTTTATGTGTCTCTTTGGAACGTTCAGATGGTGCTAAAGAACACATTTGAAAAACCTTTTGGACAGTTGCAAACGCCTGTGCGGAACCGAGGACTGCATGAAATTACGCGTGGGGGCGGCCAGTATCATACTGCGCATACTGAAGGTAGGATCTGGGAATTGAAGTTTTCACGATTTGGAGAGAAAACACGATATGTTCGTAATCATGCTGCTAGGTTTAGGATTGCAATAGAAGTAATTTATGTTCTTCCATAGGTGGAAGTGCGCGAGAAGGTTTTTTAGTGGCGGCATTCGAAGAGAATAGAAGCATCCTCCCCGCCAACATTTGTGACAGCTTTACGGCAACAGTTAAACGGATAAATGTTTCCCCAGTCGTTCACTATTTCTGCAAAGGCAACTAGTTGCAGCAGCTTTTTGTATTTGATGTATGTTCAAGTATGTGTGGGCTTGCCTCAGAAAAAATCATGATTATGGCTTCCCTAAGCCCAGAAATTGCTTTTTCATTCTATGTGTTGATTTAGAGGGGTTGTTAGACGAGTTTATGGCTTAAATAGTGATCATTCGGCAACAGTTGACTTGCTACGTTCTTTGAAGTGAAGGTGATCAACGAAGCAGCATGGCAAGTTCAAATGCGCTCTTTGCGGTCGTATTTCGTAGAACACTGTCCTCTCACTCTGTAGATTGATGGCTAAGAAAGCAGAGCGCATTTATTGCTGGAATAAAAATCGCGTGGAAGGGTGTCGTTTGAAGTATATTTATTTACTTTTGCAACCATGATCACTTTTTCAAGCAACGCACGTTCGACCACCTTTACGTGTACCTTTGTGTCTTCAACTCCCTTACTATGCTCTTTCGCGTTTAGCTGATTTGTTCTCTCATTCCGGTCACACATTTGTCCTTCTGATTTGTGCTGTCCAGATCCTGCTGCTTTGCAGACAAGGGTATTTATTTGGGCTATGTTCATTGTTTGATTTTTTTCTTATTTCCACTGTACAGAGTTCATTTTAACATCTACTATTTTTCTATATATATTCCTCATTTACTTTTTTTGTTGCCGTAGAATATGTCTCCAGGCAAGTCGTCACCAAGTCTTTACCGGACTCTCCAGGCACTTTAGGCGGATCTACGTTCTGGAACGTATGAGTGCTTCTTTTCTGTGCCTTATTACGACTTGGCCGTGCGTCTAACATCTCTTTCAGTCAGGCACGTCTTCGAACTTTGCACGGCTCAAAACGCGGTCAAGATATTAGGAGTTTCGGACGTGCTATCATAAACATCAAGCATGCACACTTATTGTTGCGCATGCCGTAGTGTGTATTCCCCTACAGGGTCATCTGTCCGTTGAGATTTCCCATGGAAAAAGGTGATTTGTGATTTTGGAATGGTTGAGCGTGGTGTCGGACAAGTATTTTAGAGAAAAGATAAAGATAGTATGATCGCTTATCGGACCCGCCGTTTTAATAGGCTTGCGCGTTAACTTTCCGTCATGGTTACTGAGCACCTCGACGGTCAATTTTGGTAGGAATTTTGTGAAGGGTAGCGATGTTGTGTCTTAATGTGGCTGGCCGGCTCTATCAGGCTCAGCGTCATATCGACGCATCCACCCATGTGGTCCGTTGGAGAGGTCATATTGGAAACCCTTCCAGGAGTGGACGTCAAATATTTAAGATCCGCACAGGGTGATGATCAACACTGTCTTTCGCCATCTTGGTTATGGGCCAAATTTCTTGTCTCTGCGCCCACTATCACGCTGGGCTGCCTGCCTCGCGTAAGTTCTTGCATACCCATTCGACCCCGGAAAGAAAGGCGTCTGTTTTTTTTGCGGAGGTGAGTAGGAGGGGAGGGGGGAGGAGTAGGGAAGGGTATCGATCCTACTAGGAGAAGAATGGCATGGGGCTCCAGGTTTCCTGACTTAGGTCCGACGACCCTGCAAACAACAAATGGGAAGAAACTTCGTTGGCAGCGTCATCGTCGTTGGGCCGACTGTGGGGTCACAACGCTGGCATTCTCAAAAAACTTTCTTGCGGAGCTTGTGGGGAGCCGTGTCGAAGGAGGATTCCACGACAAGAACGAAGATCGAAGAAGGGGAAAATTGTTTAGTAGGGAGAAAGGCGGACCTCTTGAGGGTGCACACTGACACGCAATTGGTAGCGAAAGATTTGACCTCGGCGATCGCATGACTCACTCTTGGCGCGGTTGGCGGCGTGTCCCCCAAAAGGCCCGTCGCGCGGCGAAGGAAGAGACGCAGACGCGGCAAAGGACGAGTCGCAGCGCATACTGTAGCGGTTAGGCGTCAGGTTAAATAGAGTGTACCATACTACGTCTCATATCGCACAGCACGCGCTGCGACTCGTCCTTTGCCGCATCTGCGTCTCTTCCTTCGCCGCGCGATGGGCCTCTTGGGGACATCCCAGTTGGCGCGATACGCCCACCGACCATCTATCTAATCACTCGTCGCAGGTCTATCCGTGGCGAGTGATGAGATAGCAGAGAGAGCGTAGTGTTGAAGAGGGCATAGTGATGAGAGGCGCATAAATGCGCAAATCAACAGGCAAAGAAGGATCCTATTCCTCGAATTCTAAACCGTTTCTCATGGCTTTTTCCTTCTTTGTTGTACCACTCGCCATCCTTAGCTTTATTTGAAATTTTCATTTGGGTTGCTTTTTCATCGTAAATTCTGCCTCTAAGCAGCAAAACTTACATGGCGTCAAATATTACCGTCGGTCTACCGCGATCGGCGATGGAATTGGTGGATGGTTCTAATCGCGAACCGTGTCTTTATGTTCACATCACAACCCGCGACATGTTTTCTCTTAAGCGTTTTTGTGAGATATTAGTTTTTTTTTCGAAAAAGTTGGTTTTTTGTATTTTGGGAAGCGTCACTCCCAAATGCTAAAAAACATAGTGAACATTTTTGTTTAAAGAACTTCTTTTGCAAGATGTTTACGCTTGTTTACGTTCCACGGAGTCTCAAACCTCTCGCTTGCATTCAATAGAATGATTTCAGAAAATACTGCGACGGGTGTGATGAAAGCGGGTAATTCGTTCACAATTGAGCCGATGATAAACGCTGGCAGTTATCACGATGATCGCTGGCCAGATGACTGGACCGCTGTTACGGTATGCCGCTTTGTTTTTGATTTTTGAGAAGAAGTGATAAGTGAATCTCCTTTTTGTAGACTGATGGCAAGCGATCCGCTCAGTTTGAGCAAACTCTACTCGTAACAGAAAACGGTTGCGATGTGCTGACAGCTCGTGAGGGTAATCGACCATGGTTCATGGATCAAATTGATAAATGGTATACTAAATAGCGGGCACTGTGATTTCTACTTACCTCACATGTTCTTTAACCTAATTATGTGTTCACCGTTGATAGCATAGCCTTGTTTATTTCTCGATTCTTGTATGAATCAAAGCCTTGAATCATGTATGATTCTTTTAATTGCTCGAACTCGGTACGAAAGTCGGTGTTGGGCTGATCTCAAGCCGAGCACATCTTACGATTAGTGTTACATGAAAAGCGACGTCAGAATCTCTTTCATTCTTTCGCAATTATCGATTTTAGTCTGAATAAAATGGGTCGAAAAGTAGCTGAATCATGTAGTCATCGTCATGGATTGCCACAGAGAAGAAGTTGGATGAGATGTGTTTAGTGAGACAATTATCCCTCGACATGCAAGCTGAGCTCTTCGAGGGGAACTTGAACTTTTTGCGGAGCTCCATAGATTTGGCTGCTGAGTGCTGCCCACGAATTTACCCATGCGCCAATTCGACTTGTTTGGAAAAGTCTCGCTTTTCTTCATGCCATGCCTAGTTGTGAGCAAGCATTTGTAGGAGTGTTCGTGATAATCGTCAGGATCCGTTCGAAAACTTGATGTTTTGATTTTTAGATCAAGTATGTTTTGTGTTTGCGAATTTTAGCGCTAACGTTTGTAAAGTGAAGTTGAAGTGCAAAAAGCTTTTTTCGCATGGCACGATTCATTTGAACTCGTCTAGGGCTCAGGGACAGGGCATAAATGTAGTTTAACTGTTTAGTAAGGAGGTTGCATTTACGTGTAATTAGGATCCCGCACGGTCCGACATGGCCTACAATGCGCGGGATACATATCCCCTGCGCTGTCGTCGATTTGTTAATGTTTCAAAATTTTCGGGTGTGAGAGTGAAATTCAACCCAAAAGAGCGTGTTATGACAGAATAAGCAAGTGTTTCTTACGCTCGTTGTGGTGTATGTAAAAATGTTTTGACGTAGCTTTTTTATGAGAACGTACATCTTGCACCTATAGGTTTGTGTATTTACTTTTAACTACTCTTTGTGTTTTTTACAGCAGAAAAAAATAGGAATGAACTGAGCTAAGACTTCAAGTAAACCTCCTGCAACCAACTCTAGACGAAATGACCCAATTGTGCGGCATATCTGACATCTCGGCCTCGTAGTTTAGAGCCATATTAAAGGAAGCAGTCACGATAATTTTCATGGCAGCGATAAGGAAAGCTCGTATGGAGTTGGATAATCGATGTGGAAAGGGGTGCGATAAGAGCGTGCTAGATATGATACCGTTATCGTTATCGTCCCGTTTTCATTCTGGAGTGCACCTCTTATCAAGCAGCCGCACCTTCTTATCTCATCGTATCATATCTTCCATGGGCTTACACTCGTCCAACAATTACTGCCTCACACCTTATCGATTGATAACGCGAGGGTAGCAAATCCAGCGTGGAAGCCAGCGTGACTGCTTCCTTTAATAAATGGCCTATAAATGAATAAAAACGGGAGAAAAAGTTGCGCATGCCCGAAAAAACCTGAGATGCATACGTAGTTGCTACAATGTCGTCAAGACACTGATCACGACGGTTGGAAGGTGCTTAAGTATAGAATTCATCGCTTGCCATCTTTTGTGAGGCGAACGGCGTTAAGACGAATAGGCACCAGCCCGACGAGAGCAGGTGAGCGACTGCATAGGAAGAGAGGACGCAGGCAGTCTGTAACGCAAACCAATTCGTGCCGAGCCGAAGCATCCTGAATCAATGATAACACCCTACCACGTCGTATACTTTCGAACCGCGTAAACAAAAGTAATCTGCCTAGGTGAACAGCTCTATCTTTCAACCAAAGGAATTGCTCTATCCGAATTCACGTAAGGTGCGGCTTGGAAGGAAAATCGAATCAAATTGATATGGTTGTTCTGCTGAAAAATATTACAGAAGCAGTAGGAGCATTCACTTTCGTGGCCTGTGAATTATTCAGTTTGGAGTCAGTATAGGCATTATTAGAGCTACTGAGCGGCAGGGAGAGAGGAGAATTCAAAGATGATAGAGCATGCATTATAGCGGGGAGCAGGCGCTTCCTGGGCTCCATCTGCCAACCGTAAGGCTAGGAAACTCAGAGTTTTGCAGCGCTACCCGAGAGCTCTCACAAATGCACATATACAGGGGGGGGGCAAAAAAAGAGTCACTTTGCCCATGGCGCATATCATCAAACTTTTCGTCGCAAAGGATGCCGCTGTTATTGGGAGTTATACGGCGAATTATTCCTTAGATGTCCCTCTATAAGCAGAATCAGGATGACGTCATCTGTCATCACCGTCGAGCTCAAGGGGACCTACGATGATCGCTCGATTCTGGAGTTGCTATCTGATTTCTGCAATCGGATAATTGGTTACGTTCGTGGCTTCTTAGGGACACTAGCTCTGACTATGCAAAATGGCTTTTGACCAGCGTTTCAGAGACGTCGTAATCGTCTATGGTTTCTCGACGACCTCGTTGAGCTCGTACCGTGAACCATGTTTCCGTGGGAAAATCTTCTGATGTCGTCGGTGTAGAAAGCCCTATGTAATTTTTTTGATAGAATAGAATGTGCTCTTCAATATGCAATTGAGCTCATTCGGTTTGGTTTGGCAAAGTGTAATTAATTCCGTTTTGAATGTGAATGAGAGTGACTCTTTTTTTGCCCCCGCCCCTTATAGTACAACATCTCTGCTTACTTTATTTCCTCTGAAAGGCTTGGTCCTTGTAAATATTCCAGCTGCACTCTATCCTTTGGTTGGTAGGAGTCTTGTAACCCTCAGTGTTCTAGCTAGGTGTTGTCAGAATCCTTAATAGGGTCAACCGTCCGTTGGACGAAGTTCAACGAGGGGGTCGTATTTGGCCGACCGAAGAGGGGGGGGGGGTCGTATTCGCAAAGGTCAACGTCGCAATACGTAGGTGAGAGGCATAACTTTCGAGTGCTTCTCCAACTATTAACCACAAACGAGTGCATGGCGCACCTCAGAGCAGAAGAGTCTACTGCAGAAGTGTCCATATTTGACTGTTCACGTACACAAATATTATCTCGAGAGAACCAATCTTCAAACTGAACCTATGTTAGTAAAAGAGTGACCACTTGGGTAGACTGACTGCTAATCGCTTACAGAAACTGGAAAAAAATATTGCCTGGCGCCGACTTCCTGGAGGGGTTTATTATCTGTTATGAATCACAAAACTTGTGCAATCTCATGGTATCATTACTCCCCATAAAATTGAGTTTGAAGAGAGCTGTGAGTGTTTGAAAACTCGTGTTTTTAGGAGAGTAGTAGCTCCGAAAATTCATGAAAAAGAAACTATCCAACGGGGCGATTTTATGAACGGGTCACTTTGGAAACGAGATCAAGTATTTGCTAGAAAACTCTAACCTTCTAGTTTCTTTCAGGGGACAAGAATTGCAAAAAGTTTAATCTGAAGAAAGTTATAACAGTTCAAAGCCAAAAAACCAGCGCTCTGCCAAAAATCGGTCCGCGAATTCCTTCAAAACGGTCCAACGGGGCGATTTTTGACTCCATCAACTTTTGAAAGAGTGCAAGTATTCGTTAGAAGCCTCGAACTTCCTAGTTTATTCTAGGGGGACAAGAAATGCAAAAGGATAAATCCAAAGAAAGTCACAGTCATTGAAAACTAAAAAACCCAGTTGCGAACAAAAAACATTTCAACGGGACGATTTTTCAAAGAAATGAAACTTCATGGAAGTATGTATGATTTCTAGAAAGAAAACAATCCATTGTTCCAAAATTTCCTTACCACTTCCTATACTTTTTTATTATATGAAAACCACCTCTCAAATAAAGAAGTGCGCATTTCTGTGAATTCTTGATTCACAGAAATGCGCACTTCTTTATTCACCATAGCTAAAATAGTTCTGACGGTACTGCACAAAGGTGGTAGTTTTGAAACTAGCAGTCCCTCGATTACAAATCTACTCAGTGTTTTGGAAAATATTGAAGCTGAACAGAACTAACACTCAATTTAATTTGTTTTGAGGGAATGTGCAAAAGAAACGCCAAGACGGCAGGAGTTGAGCTTTCAGTTTTGCTATCGCACGCGGGGATTTTCCATTTTCCTAATTCTCTATTTTTATTGCAATCAAAGATTTTCCCCAGCTATGTACCTGTCATCGCTAGTATCCATATCTCATCATTATTGCATCGCAATCGGTCACAAGCGTTCGTCTTCTTCTTCTCTTCTCCCTAGCGTTAGTCCCGCGCAGTCGCAGGGTCCGCTGTTTTGTCAGTCGTCGCCACTTCGCTCTGTCCAGGGCATCCCTGCTGTGGCCATGATTTCACTTAGGTCCTTCTTGATACGTCCTTCCACCTCTTCTTTGGGGCTCCTCGCGGTCGCTTGCCTTGCGCTTCGAAGTCCATTGCATTCCTTATTGGGTGGCCTTGTGGCCTCCTTAGCACATGCCCATACCATCGCAGTCGCTCACCTTCAGCTGGACAGGGGCAGTCTGCATGACCGCTCTGACATCCTCGTTCCTGACCCTGTCCAGTCGCGTCCAGCCGCAGGCCCATCTCAGCATCCTCATTTCGGCGGAGTGAAGCTGCCTTTCGTGATTCTTGTTCAGGGGCCAGCACTCGCTGCCGTAGAGCATCGCAGGCCTTACCACTGTTCGGTACACCTTCCCTTTGAGCGTTCTGGAGCACCTTCGGTCGCAGAGGATTCCAGTGGACTCCCTCCATTTCATCCATGCCGCGTTGATCCTCCCCTTTACTGCCTGGTCCACACTGCCGTCGGCCGCCAGATCACTCCCAAGGTATCGGAAGTCCTCCACTCTTTCGATGCTTTCGCCATGTCCATCCACGATCGGCTCTGCACCCTCTTCGGAGCTCAGGAACTTGGTCTTCTTGACATTTAGCCGGAGCCCCCTTCTGCCAGGACCTTCTGCCATTTCTGCACCTTGGCCTGTAGTTCTTCTCTGCTATCGCTATCAGGGCGATGTCGTCAGCGTAGAGGATGGTCTTTAGTGGTCCTTCCATGAGCCCCTTCACCATGACATCTAGTG